CTATACGTACTTTATACGTTATTCATATCCGCAAAGATCTTTGTCTTGTTGTTTTTTTTAAAGAAACCCAATTCTTCTGAGCTATTAAAAATGGAAACGGTTCTGCTGCAATAATATCAGTTAATATATTTTTAATAACATTTTATTTAATATATATATATATATATATATATATAGTACATAATATATATATATATATATATATATATATATATATATATATATATGACACGTATATTATATAAACATAAATGTATATTTACATCTGTACATTTTTGAATGACAATGTAATAATCAGCGAGAGATTAATTTTTATGCCGGATGAAATTTTCGGTACCAATAAATATTGATACGATAAATAAAATTTGATATCTACGATAAATTGAAATGATTTTTCGATTCTTTCTCAAAATCCCTACTCGCATCTATACGTGAGACACGTATCTTGCCCTGCTACTTACGAACACGCTATAAATAGCAGATATATGGAAATTTTACGAATAGACACTCGATTCGAGATAGATAATATCTAAAACGAGATTTTATCGCGGTCGGATACCGAGTAATCGGAAACTCCCGCGTTTATCGGCGATAAAGGCCCGCCGCGCGAATGCAACGAGAATTCGAAATCCCGCGGTATTATTGGCGAGACGTTACCCGGCAGCGCTCACGCGGCCCGCATTGGCCCAAGCGCATCCGTGTGGCCACGCCTACGTCACGTCATGGCGTCGGAGCAGACAGACGGGGTACGCAGCCTGCCGTGCGGGTAGAAGGGTTGCGCGCTGCGATGAGGACGGAGCACGGTTTTATCTCGCATATTGTGGCGAGTGTCAGCGCGTTTTCACGCTCGCGACGGTGTTATATGCACGCCAGGAGTGCCGGGACTCGTAATTAAATCCACTCGCTCGCTCGCTCGTTCGTACGTTCGCTCTCTCGGACGCGAGCGAAACGCGTGCGCGCGCGTACGCACGTACAAAATACACACACACACACACACATACACATACACACACAATATACACATACCATACGCACGCGCGCGCGTGAGCGAAATCGAGGGAGACTCCGAGTCCTCCCGTTGCTGTGTCATTGACTCAGGGCGAAGTGTCAAAATCTATCCGTGCCCAATTTTCTGCCGCCCTCTTCCCGTCGTCGCGTGTAATATTAAGACGATCTGCGAATAATTTCGCCGCCCGGCAGTCTCGCCACTAGCTGACGGAATAACACACGGATGGCCACGGGAGAACAAGAGCATGTATGTACGTGACCTATCGGTGTGCGCTTTGTTTTCTTCTTGCAGTGTCGCAGAATCCCTCGCGTGGAACGCTACCGACGATCGTTTCGTGCTCGCTCAACAGAACGTGAGAGGACCGCGATTTACGACGCATCGCGACGCACGCCAGGCTTCGTTACAGCTTTCGAAGTTGTTTGCGCAGCTACTTGTTTAACAACGTCCGATTTCCATAAATTTCCCACGAGGAGAAAAAAAACCTATTATCTACCGTATTTAATTTTATGCGTAATGCGTAATTGGATATCCTTGACGCGTTCATGACTATGATCCAGTTTATTCTTTGATTTAAATTACTATCTGAACGTTGATAAATGTTACTGATCACTTTAATCTGTATAATCAATTATTCATTTATTAAATAGGCCTTGTATATAATTGTTTTAATACATTTGGCATGAGTACTGGTGAAATGAATAAATAATGTGAATGTGTGTGTGTGTGTGTGTATGTATGTGTGTGTATGTGTGTGTAAAAATTACTACTGTAGAAGATTATAGTTATTACATAAGTATAAAGAGAAGTTGTACTTGGATATTTTAGCTCGGAGTATTTTTCCTTTTATAGATGTAGCATGCACATATAATCAAATATATATACATATACATATAACACTTCGGTATATATACAAGATAATCTCATATATGCTATTTATAAACATAACACTTGTATCTCTGATTTCAGGCTATGTACATTTGGATACTAAAGGCTAAATAATGCTTGAAAAGCACAAATAAATATATAACAGTGCAATTGGTGTTGAGACACTACCAGGAATATAATATAATCATGTATCCAAGATACATTTAATCAAATTTAATTGTCTGATTATACATTTGGGGAGGTTGGAGAGTAATGCCGGTTCATCAGATTAATGTTAATCCGCCAGATTGGCAACCGCCATTATCAATTGGTCCTTCCAGTAATACAAGTCCAACCGGTGGAGAAGCTTTATCAGAATGGATACCACAGGTGATCATTTTCTAAATTAGGAATCAATACATGGCATTTTATTTGATTCTTTTAAGCTTTCATTAAAATAAAAATAATAATGAATATGTTTGTTTATTAATGGTGTGTGTATATATATATATATATATATATTTTCTTTCTGCAAACTTTGAGAATTTTTGAGCAAATTTATAATAAGTTTTCTATTGAAAAAATAATAGATGGAACATAGTTTATTTATAATTATGAAATATTTTATGTAATTGGAAACAAAGCTTTTTTCAAAATAAGAATAAAATATAAAATATTAATTTTAAGCGGACTTTATTTCTAAACTTGAGAGCTATAGAAATATAATAATTTTATATAATATATAATTTTAATAACTTCATAATTTAAAATTTTTGTTGAGAAGAAATTCAAATTGGATTTTTCAAAGAATCTGAAATTGAAAGAAAACATAGAGATGTTGAATATTGATTGTGACTAAATTACAGAAGCAATATTGTGAGAATATAAATATAAAATGCAAAGTTTTAAAGTGAGATATTTTGTTCTTAGATATAATAATTTTATGTTGCTTTGATAATTATTAATGTATTGCGATAACATGTTATCTGAAAGGTACTTGTAGACATAAATTGTATAGAAAGATAAGAGTATTTTGATAATGACCTCTTCCTGCCATGATTCATAGAAGTATACTTATTTCAGAATTTTGCTTATGGTACAGTAGTTACTATTATACCAGATGATTGTCACTCGTCCGTAAGCACCTTGTCTTCGACCAACCATGATATTTGCAGGTAATAATACAGTAACATACATATTGTTGTTAAGCCCAATTGTATGTATTGCTATTTATAAAATAATTGGATATACATATGTATAATTTTATTTCATTATAAGAAAATGTGCGTTTTGTAAATAGGATCTGCCATTGTGAGGGTGAAGAAGGCGCTCCTTTGTTAGCTCCTTGTTATTGCAGTGGCAGTTTGCGCTACGTTCATCAGGCTTGTCTTCAACAATGGATAAAGGCTTCGGATACACGCGCCTGCGAATTGTGCAAGTTCACATTTATCATGCACGCCAAAACAAAACCATTTTGCGAGGTAAGTAAACATTTTATTCTCTCGCGCAGAAAGGAATGAAAAATACTGTGACTCATGATCATACTACAGTTATGTCAAATATATAAACGAGGCATCATCTTTACAGTGGGAGAAGCTCGAAATGTCTGCGCTGGAAGTGCGAAAATTATGGTGCGCGGTTGCTTTTCACGCCGTAGCCGCGCTTTGCGTAGCGTGGTCGTTATACGTACTCGTTGAACGATCCGTGGAAGAAGCACGTCGCGGATTCGTCGATTGGTCCTTCTGGACGAAATTAATAGTTGTCGTGATTGGTTCTACTGGCGGATTAGTGTTTATGTATATTCAATGCAAAGCATATATTACATTATGCAGAAAATGGCGAGCATTTAATAGGTATGCGTTTTTGTTCTTATCATTTTTTCTTTCTCTTGGATGTCTGTCTATTATCTGTCTTGGCTTGATTATGTCCGTCTATTTTTTTCTTTCTCTTGGATATCTGTCTATCATCTGTCTTGGCTTGTCCATCTATTACAGGGTGATATTTATTCAAAATGCTCCTGAGAAAGTGGTGCTTCCTCCCTCACCTACGGACTCTTTAAGAGAAGTTACTCTACCCCTGAAGGACCCAACTGCCTCGATGGCCGAGCTCAATCGCACTCTGTTACCCCGTACCATAGATCCTCCGTGTGCCTCGCAAATGGCGAAGCCCGACTCTGCCGCGCCACCGCAGAGACACGATGCTCAACTGAAACTTTACGTATTCGACAAGTTGTCCTCATCCGAGGATAATCTATAATACTTCGAAAACGGAAATGATCGTTAAAAATCGCGTATTTGGAAAGTGATTAGCCAAATTTTTTCGATTCAAAATAATAAGCGTGTCCCGAACGGAACCGGTTAACTTTTAGACTGTATACGATTTCGTAACTCGGAGCGGAATTATCCTTGCCGAAGTCGTCAAATATCCGCCCTCATGCAGCACCTTTTTTTCCGAAACTTAGTACTTCAGTGCTTACAGTGTTGACAAGTGAGATAGAGAGACGGAAGTGTACAGCCCGAAAATGCTGGCGCTTTCTTATGTACATAATTATTGTATCTGTGATGTTATTAAATAAACTTTACCATATTTAAACAATACAACGTTCCTTTTGCAATAACAATACACGTCGATATTATCTCCAATTTTCAATCAGCAAGAAACATGAGTACATACTTATCGAGCACGAACATGAAAAATCATCACAATGATACGATGACGGGAGATTCTTTTATTTATCCAGTTTCTTCTTTATCTTAATATTCTTACTATCGGTAGGCAAACGAGCGACAATTTTCGCGCGCTCACGATTGCCGGCGACGGCAGCGCCACTGGATCAAGTCGCGGCGACTATAGCGACACCAGAGATTCCGGTGCTCGATGCTGCCGTATCGATCGGTTGATCAGTGTCGCGCGTGTAGCCGAAACGTTTGGTCGAGTGGTTCTCTCGCGCGGCGTCTCGGTAGTCGGAACAGGCCGCGCAACGAGCGAGTGAGCGCGCGATTTGCGTGCAGACAGCAAGGAAGAACGAAGGAAAGAAAAGGAGCAAAACCAGAAAAGAGAGGGAAGGAAGATTCGTGCGTCCCGCGCGAGAAGCGTTAAGGTCGAGATCCCCACGCGGACCGAGTGTCTACGAGTGTCCGCATGCGGAAACCGCGCACGATACCCGGTTTCCGCACGGCGGAATGGACAACTCACGGGTGCCAACGCTACCGCTATGTAGCACCGGCAGTGTGTAATAGAAGCGGCGGCGTATACCGCGCTCGCGTGCCGAGGGGACGGGTAGTCGGCCGCCGTAACTGCGGCTGCGGTGGCTGCGGCGGCAGC